CTCGCTTAATGGGAGAAATAGTCGTCGTGTTGCAATCATGCGCGAGGGGGGGGGGGCATGGGGGGTTGCCTATCCTCCGCCTCGGCGCAATGCCAACCTGTCTAGCGCTAAACCCTGCCTAGCTTATGCCCCTGCTTTCGAGGAATAGAGTGGCACCTTGGTCCATGGCTCCCGCACAACTTTGTCTCGTGGGGATAGACCGGACAAGCAACTAGACACGATCGGGCTTAAGCATCCGGACCAGCTAAAAATATGTATGCAAAAAAACATAGACACCGTTTCATGCCGCCACAGCAACCTTACAGTTGTTCTGTCCTATACCATATTCATGTATAACGGTCAAAAAGGTATTTTGAGTCACCATGTTTCCTATTGTGAGAAGGCCAAGGCCATGCTTTAAAATTGTCCAAGCCTACAAGAACATAATTAACAAATTAGAAAATAAAACCCTCTTGCACTCACTAGCGGCGTGCCATGAACAAAGCTTAATGTTGCCACTGGTTCTTTGAAACAACCTCAAAGTTAGGTTAACGTTGTTGACGCAGCGGTCGGGAAGTTGCTAGTTGGAGCCAAAAAGAAAAAGCTAGCAACATTTATTTGAGGATCAGATCGCCGTCCAGAGAAGAGGGTGATGAAGCTGACTGAACAACCATCCCGGATCCGACCAGATAGAACCGGGGAGGCTTTACCTTACTAGCTTTGTAGCAAACCCGTAGTTGGCCGTGCATCGCCGAATGAAAGAAGACGCCAAAAGAGCACAACATGAACCATTGTCGTCCACTCCGCCGAACACCGACGTCCTAGACCTCCTAGAGGAAATGTTGACAAAAATGGGCCCAAGAACTAGCCCTGATCAAAGCTCCACATGTTCTCCATCAAGGCCAACCAACATGGCCAGAACGAGGAGAACTTATTCTACACCGCCGATGAACTTTGTATTGCCACCGCCGGCCCGACACCTAGACCGAGCACTAGTTGGCGTTAGGGTGATCCATACACAACCAACCCCAAATAGTCTGGTGTGCGGCGTATGCCTGTTAGATCTCCCGAAAATAAAATGCATGCCCACTTGGACTTTTTGTTTGCACAAAAGAAGGTTGGATGCTTGTGTACATTTGGCCATCTATAGCTACTAGGAGCAAAAATAAAGTTAGCACGAGCGCTTTTTATATGGCAATTTCTAAAAAGGTTAATTGCATATACTCCAGATCCTCCAACGATAGCTATGGTTTGGTTGCTTGCATCAAAATAATCCGCCTGGTCTCTGTTGACGTGTTACTATTTCTTGCTTCTCCCAAAAGTGAGCACTACTACTATACTAGTAGTATTGAAAATGTTGCAAGCTAGCTGAGCAATCTTAACGTACTTGCACATGGTGATCATAACAAGAAAAATAATAATAATCCTACAAGGCTACAAACTGTTGAACGAACGCGTAGGGGTATCCATCTACGCAAATTATCATCAATATCTTTGCTTAAACTAGGGACATGCAAGTTAGACTAATGCATCCTGCAGATACGACCAATCGTCCGTTCCAAGCCAAGACAGGTCGACAGTCACCGTGATTCCTCGAAGCGCCCTTAATTAATTACACTCGGCGGTTCGACGACGGCCCATCCCGCACGCAGATCTCAAAGCACGACAGACAGACGGACAGACAGAGAGAGAGGGAGACGGACGGATGATTTTCATCAGTGCGCCGTTAGTGGCGAAACATTCTGGGTTTTGCATGCGTCCGTCCTCGTGTCCTCCAAAGATTCCAAGGGCAGAGGATGACAAAGAGGAAGACCACTCGTCGGTCATCACCACCAACCAAATCCTGATAAAAGAATTGGTACACGATGCACAATCTCATTGTCATGGCGACCCTAATGCCACGGTGCTGGTGGTTGTGCCATGGTAATGCCTAGTTTAGGACTGGCTAGGTTGGTAGTGTTACTTTTTCCACCTTAAAAAGTGGTGTGTATCAGTTTTGTCTAGGTGAAGGTTTGCAAAGTTTGACCCAAGTTTAGAGATACATATTTACATTGCCAAATAAATACAATATAAAAATGTATTTCATGATGGATTTAGTACTCCCCCCATCCAAAAATGTAAGATTACTTTTTGACACTACCATAGTGTAAAAAATGGTCTTATATTTTGGGACGGATGGAGTAACATTGATTTCATATTGTAGTAGATTCTTTTAAGTCGATCAAGGTGTACAAAGTTTGGACAAAATTAAGATCCGCTATATTTTGAAATGAAGAGAGTGCATGATGATCGTTATGCTGATGACATTGCTTAGACCGTGTATATGTCATGACGCATAGACAAAAGTAAAATACAATGTTTGTTGCTACTATATAATATCATCACATTGGTACCTTAGTTATGGTCTTGTGACGGCTTTCACATAGTTTAAAAATTACCAAAGTTGAATATAGCACGCTCGCAAACGGCGGTAGCTTTAAAATCAACTAAAGCAAAGTTAAATGGTGGTTTACCCCGCTAAACCTGTTGAGTTTTTTTTAGTTGGGAAGCCATTCCTTTTTTTAAGATGGGATGCCCTCGGAAACCACTATAGCACCATTATTTTAAATTTTATGTTTTACCTATTGGTTGTTGTGGCATCGTTGCTTAGTACGTAGTTAGTGGTTGTGCCGGCCAGAGGATGTGTTTACAATACATCAAAATTGAAATCTCTTATATACTTCCCCCGTCCCAAAATTCTTGTCTTAGATTTGTCTACATACGAATGTATCTATTCACATTTTAGTGTTAGATACATCCGTATTTAGATAAATTTAAGACAAGAATTTTGGGATGGAGGGAGTAATTCAGAAGAAGTGTATAGAGCATAAGGATGTCTCCTACTTCTCCGATTGTCCCATGCCAGATACGTCCACCATCTGATGTGTGCTAGACAGTTCGATCCATTACGATACAAGGAAATATCTAATGGCATGTGGGCTGTGAATAATTGTACTTTCCCTTAGATAATGTACTAAGCTTATTTTCCTCTCCCATGAAAAGGATAAAAAATGACGTAAAAATATGGGACATAACAAACACATGCATTGACCAATCCTGCAAAGATTTCACATAGAAATCCAACGCCAATTCCAAACTTCCATACCCTAAAAAAATACTCCTTCTGTCCCAAAATAAGTGACTCAACTTTGTACTGAAGTTACTACAAAATCGATTCACTTATTTTAGGACCGAGGGAGTATATGACAGTATATAGTTCTATGTTAGTAGCAACTAGTTTCAGTTGCGCCGAAAGGAAGAAAAGGCAAACGAACAAAACAATTCCGTATGATGCAAATGGTATTTTGCAATTCAACTGCAATGGCCAAATGGAGTTCCAGCATGCAGTAGTCTTACTATGTTAGTAGCAACCAGCTTCAGTTTCAAAATACATAAAGGAGGGATGATGACAAATAGAGCGGCAGTTGCAATTGCCAATTGAGTGCCACATGTATCATGCATGTAGTATCACAAACTAAGAAGAAGAAAGAAAAGGTCTCCCCAGCTCAATAAATACCTCCACCAGCACCAGCCATTTTCCTGCACTTCACAGGCCCTCATCATCTTCCATCCCTCCAAAAACATCACTTGCACACATAGCTGCATGCAACCCAACAAAAAATCTGACTAGGAAATGTCAAGTGAGAAGGACATGGGGGGCCAAACCACTTTGCAGAAACAACCCCAACACTGTCCTTGTGATCTCCAACCAGGGGCCCAAGCACAATAATCAAACATTCACAGGGGGCTGGCTGCAAAAGTGGCATGCTTTATTATTCCACAAAGTCCAATACTAGTCCTTGGGGAATTGGCACAAGGAGAGAGAAAGTGACAGAGAGAGGTAGAGAGAGAGAGAGAGAGAGAGGGAGAGGGGGGAGGGGAGACCCTGACCAATGCCAAGAACAAGAAGAGATCAGTGAAAATCCCCACCGGGCGAGAGGAGACGAGCTCCGGCCCCCGTCCTCCAAGAACAAGAACAAGAGCAAGAAGGAATCCGGGAGCACGAGGGAATAAAGCGGCCGGAGGAGACCGGAAAGGCCGAGGAGAAAAAAGGTACCTTTGGTTCGGACCCTCCCGGCCGGCACAGTGATCATCACGGCCGCCGGCAGCCGCCTCCAATCCAATCCCCCCCAAAAGGAGCAAGGCGGAGCGAGATTTGCTCGATCCGCCCTTGATTCCTTTCCTTTTTTCTGCTGTTGCGGGGATAGCTTTGTTTCTTCTCCTTCTTCTTTTAACTGCCGCCGTTGTTGAGAAGCTCCGGCGACGATGGAGAAGGGGATGGATCCGGCGCTGCTGGACAACATCATCGCCAGGCTGCTGGAGGTGAAGAGCCTCAAGCCCGGGAAGAACGCGCAGCTGTCCGAGTCGGAGATCAAGCAGCTCTGCGCCGCCTCCAAGGAGATCTTCCTCGCGCAGCCCAACCTCCTGGAGCTCGAGGCCCCCATCAAAATCTGCGGTAATACCTCCATCCCTCCCTCGATTCATCCGCCTCTCCCTCCCCGTGCCGGCCGCCCTCGGAATGCCATCTCGGGGGATCGGTCTCGCTGGTCAACGCGCGGTAGGTGGCTGCTTTGCCATGTTTTTTTCTTCGGGGCCGGGGAGTTCGGTAGAGATTCATCGTCTGCAGTAGCTCTCCTCTGGTGATTCCAGCACAAATTTGGGAGATGAAACTCACTTTGAATCTCTCTGGTTGTGCACATCCGAAGATGTTCATGGCTGATAGAAAGGCCATGCTCTGTATCTGGTGGGTAATAATCTGCAAGGTATTGGATGTTGTACTGAGTGCTTCTTGGTGGGTGGTTTGCAAGGTACCCATCGAATTGAATGTGTGCTGAGTGCTTCTTGGCGAGTCATTGCAGCATCAATGGGGTTTATGATGGATTATCCATGCTTGCTAAGTTTTAGGTGCTCTGGAATCTGACAAATGCCAGATTTAGTTGGGGCTCTGTTCATAACGGAAAGCTGCCGATGTTTTTGATTGATTGATGGGTCCATTCGGGATTTGATGGTATTGATTGACTTTTGGAGACCCATATATTATGAGTGTTGTTTATCATTGTGCACAGTTGTAAAGCAGTATATTTATCCATTCAGGATTTGATGTCGTTGATTAGCTTTGGAGAACCGTAGATTATATATTTTGTTTATCATTATGCACAGCTGTAAAGTGGTATATTCATGCGTTCAGGATTTGATGTCATCGATTAACTTTGGAGAACCGTCGATTATATATGTTGTTTATCATTGTGCACAGTTGTAGAGCAGTATATCAAACAAAAAGCTTGCTTTGGTAATTAACTGTAGGCTGGAGAATTGGCATCCCTCGCCATGTATATTTTAGAACAACTGATGATTGGAGTTTCAGTTTGCTGACGAAAGACAGCTGTTTTAGTTCTCTAAATGTTTGTCTTTCATACTTCTCATTGTTACACTTCAGGAAACGGTTGTGTATGTCAGGTCTATGTGTCATTTTATTTAGCTTTAAGTTGTGGTATATCAATTGGGCATTTGCGTATTCAAGGGGAAAATCTATTTTTGAATGAAAATATACCCAGAACTTCTGTAACTTTTTCCCTTCTGAATCTGAATGTTAATTTGAGAACCTTGATTAGCTTACAGAAAGCTCCATACTAATGTTAATCTTTCAAAAATTAATCTGTTCAGGTGATGTCCATGGCCAATATTCTGATCTCCTGAGGCTCTTTGAATATGGTGGATATCCTCCTCAGTCCAACTATCTTTTCTTGGGCGATTACGTGGACCGAGGAAAGCAGAGCCTTGAGACAATATGCCTTCTTTTGGCTTATAAGGTCAAGTACCCCGAGAACTTCTTTCTTCTAAGGGGAAACCATGAATGTGCATCAGTAAACCGCATCTATGGGTTCTATGATGAGTGCAAGCGCAGATTCAGTGTGAAACTCTGGAAAACATTTACAGACTGTTTTAACTGCTTACCGGTATCAGCATTGATAGATGAAAAGATTCTATGCATGCATGGAGGTCTTTCTCCAGAGTTGAACAAGCTGGATCAAATACTCAACCTCAATCGCCCCACAGATGTGCCTGATACCGGGTTACTCTGTGATCTTCTTTGGTCCGATCCTTCGAATGAAGCACAAGGATGGGCTATGAATGATCGAGGTGTCTCATATACATTTGGACCTGATAAAGTGGCTGAATTTCTTGAGAAGCATGATTTAGACCTCATCTGCCGAGCCCATCAGGTGCACTATGCTCAGAAAATACCCATCATATTATTTTCGTTGTCAATTGCACAGATTGATAACTTATTTCTGCTTGGTGGAATTCAGGTTGTTGAGGATGGCTACGAGTTCTTTGCTGATCGTCAGCTGGTAACAATATTTTCGGCGCCTAATTACTGTGGAGAATTCGATAATGCTGGTGCCATGATGAGTGTAGACGAGACGCTGATGTGCTCCTTCCAAATACTCAAACCTGCAAGGAAAATGTTGCCTGGTTCAACTAATAACAAGTCTGGCTTCAAGGTATGCATAACTAACATGGGAACAATTGGTATTTTGTCATATACATATGTATGTCACTGTGCTTACCTGCCGTTTCCCTTAAAAATAGCCCCATGCTATATTTACATGCTATTCTGTACAAATATATCATTTGGTTGTCTGTCAACCTGCAAAAGATTTGAAGTAAGAACAGAATATGCTAATGGAGTCATTCACTGCAGAATTTTCATATATTTTCTGTACAGGATTAGTACAACACTTCTTTGACCACCAGATGCCAGAACCGCAGATGCACTGTAGATTTTCTTTCTTCCAGTGTATGCGATACAGCGATAGTATCAATGCACTCTTAACTTTTTGCCTGCAATTCCCAGAACGCTTGTTTCTGTTTGTCCTATCTCCCATGCACTTGAATGCACTCAGATTCTCATAGTAAGAATATATTGCTTAATGATACTGCCAAGTTGGCTCAAGTCAACCAAATGTGTTAACTAAGCTTATTCCCCTCATATTATATTGACATAGGCATACATTGACTTGTCACTTGCCGATTACAATTAGTTCTTAGCTCTGACTATTGAAATTCGTCCCTACAACATTCTGACACACTAATGCTTTATTTACTCCTGGGGAATTTTTAATCTATTGAACTGTGGTCATGTGTAAAGACATGCTGGAGTCAAATTGCATTGGAATACGTGTAAGCATATTGCAGTTTCTAGTTCTATGGCAGTGCATGTCATTATCATCGAGGGCATAATGGTGTTAGACATTGACCTCACATGACAGTTCAACCATTATCTGGTGTTATCTTCCGCCCTTTCTTTCTTACGATGACATTGTGTCTTTGACCTACCTTCTCTTGTTCCCCACTCAGTGTGAGTGGCAGTATCAGAACAAGGATACGATAGCTGGTCCGCTAAAGTGGAGGGGATGAATAGTTAACTTCCAGCTGATATATCCGATATACAAATTCCAAGAAAATGAATCTTTATGTGCTTAAATGAAGAACCCATCCATTCATATGAGAACAAGCAACATCCCATGGGAATACATCTATGAACCTGTACTGGACTAGCCTGAATATCGTATTAGCTGGAAAAAATAATTTTGACATGCGACTGGCTGTACGAAAATAATCCTCAGTTGTAATGGCCAGGAGTTCTTTCTTGATGTATCAATGATAATGGGTTCTCTCTTGATGTATCAGCTAACCTTCAGCTATTGTCGTTTTTCATGTTTGATTAGTCAATGAGAGGATGGTGACGGTGGCACGGCGATTGGTGAGCAAGCTGTGGTCTCATCTGCAGTCAGGCGCATGCCTACCACGAGCGGCTGCGACTAACCGGCGTTTTCGCTGATGCCTCGAGCCCGGACCGGAACAAGAACGCAGATTGTACAACTCTCTCGTCGATGGACTGTACATCGTTCATGTCGGATTAACACTTGTTGTAATGTATTATTGTTTTTCTACCGTGCGGATATCTTTATCGTGCGAGAGGATGATGTGAATGAAACTGTTGCTCCTCCTTCCCCCCTCTAAATTCAAAGGATTCAGGCAGGCATACGCCAATAAAAACTGGTAAGAGTCTTGGGTGCTGGCTGTGGGATCTTGACACAGGGAGCTTGTTCGTGTCTGCGGTTTGCATGGTTCGAGCTTTGCGCAAGAATCTCGATGCACTCAGCATTTGTTGTTGCTGCTGTTCCATTTAACTGTGTCTGAATATACCAGGTATGTTACTGGGTGGTGGGAATTTAAGTTGCTCTGTCAGAGTTGTGATGCATGATCCTGGTTCGAGTTAATGTTCTCTTCAGAGAATATGGTTTTCTGTTTCGATAACCGGAGATGAAGAGAATATGTTTCTGTTTTGATAAACCGGAGACAAAAAGCGGATGAATAGGTTCTGTCGAAAAGATTGCATGATGTACGAAATATTTCTTTGACAGTCTTTTTTTTGCGAAGCTGGAGGCTGACAAATGCTGAAGAAGAATCCGATTCGCCATTGCGACAACCCTCACTCAGTCTGAGACATGATGCAGGGTCAAATTGGACTAGACACATCCACATCATATGAAGAAGACACCAAAATGGTTGTCTGCTCACATCCAAGACAGTTTTGACAGCACAAAAAACAACAAAAATCCGAGGGCCTCTTTGGTTCATGGAAATTGCAAAAACCGAACATGGGGACCTTTTGAGAGGCTGGAAACGATGAGGATTTCCTTACCAAAATGCGGCACAAATCTTCGTTACGTGCAGGACCGAGTTAGATCCTGGTTGGCATGATTCGAGCTTCGTGCAAGGATCGTTGTACTTGCGTGTCACCTTGTCTTCTCTTCGCGATCTTTTTGGGTACTTGCGGTTCGATTTAAACCGCGCTGGTCTTTGAAACTCTGAATGTGCGGTTTGAATTTTGTCAGTTTTATTCTTAGGAAGGACCGTGGATCCTGATTCAAGTTAATGTTTTAATGTTTTCTTGAGAGCATATGTTTTTTTCCAAAGCCGCTAAATGATATTTGAAAAGAGGAGATGACGCATCGGAATAGATCATGTCGAAAAGATGACCAGAGTCGATAGATTTGATCTACACGAAGCATTTCTTCATCAGTCTTTTCTCGCAAGCGCTAGGCAGAGAAATGTTGCACAAGAAGAATCTGATTCGCCGTTGCGACGGGCCTCACTTGGAGTCAAAAGAGACATGATGCAATTGTCAAATGGGATCAGACACATCCACATCACAGGAAGAAGAAACAAGAACGGTTTCTCTACTCTCATTTATGATCGACAATTTCATTGACACAAACAACACATTCTTGCACCTTCAGCAATTTGGAGTCCATGGAAATTTTCCTAGGAAATGTGGTGCCAAAAATAATAATCAAACTTCGCAGGGATTACACTTGTCAGAAATCCTCTGAACTAGTAAATGACAAATGAGACCCAACGCCCCTTCTTGCTCTGTTTCACAAAAAGAACCTGATTCGACGTTGCGACGGGCCTCACTCGGAGCCAGAGAGACATGATGCAATTGTCATATGGGACTGGACACATCCACATCACATGAAAAAGAAAGAAAAACAATTTTCTGCTCACATCCAAGATGCAAAATTTCATCAATGCAAACAACAAAATTGTCGAGGCTCTGATTCATAGGACTCCGATAACGCAGAAATGGGGCATGGGAGATTTGCAATTTAGACTGTTTGGAACAAAGGGAAGACATAGAAATTTTGGAGGATAGGATTCTTCGAGAGGTTGGAGTCTATATAAATTTTTCCTACGAAATTCTACAGGGATTACAGTTCAGATGAATCCTGTGAACCAGATGAGGCCAACGCCCCTTTATCTTGTTTCAGTGTGGATGGACTCTGCTTGACATTTTCCACACATGTTTTTGTCAACAAAGCTGTTGAATCTTTTCAGATGTGGGAGTTCTGCATCAACCATTTTTTTTCTAAACGGTGAGAGAGCTGGATCTGTGCACATCATCAGTAAGCTAGATTTTTGTGAATCGTTGCACTCGCATCGTCATCCTTTCTGTTCCATTTAACTATGTTTGCCTGAATATATTCAGTATAATTATTAGGTAGTGAGAATGTAAGATTTCTCCATCAGAATGCTGACACCATAGATCCTCATTTGAGTTCTAATGTCTTTGGAGAATATGTTTGTCGTATTGATGAAGTGGAGACGAAAAGCGAAAAGATTGGATAATGTACGAAGGATTTCGTCATCGGTCTTTTCTTGCAAAGCTGGAGGCTGAGAAATGCCGAACAAGAAGAATCCGATTCGCCATTGCCACAGGCCTCACTCTGCTAGAGAGGAATGATGCAATGTCAAATTGGACTAGACACATCCACATCACTGGAAGATGACACAAAACCAACAAAAAAAGGACAAAAAAATTGAGGGCCTCTTTGGTTTGCAAAATTGCAGAACATACTCCCTCCGTCTCATAATATAAGAATGTTTTTGACACTAGTGTAGTGTTAAAAACGTTCTTATATTTTGGGACAGAGGGAGTAGTACACATGGAAAAAGGTAAACATAGGATTGCAAAAACAACAACAAATAATAATTCAGCTCGAGTCCAGCAGGATTCAAACCATGTTTGATTATACACTAGGAAGAACATGGAAACGACAGATATTTCCTTACAAAAAGCGGCGCGGATCTTTTTCATTTACCTGCGGGATTGAACTAGAATTGAGCTTCGTGTTAGAATCTTTGTATGCCTGCTCTTCGCGATCTTTGCGGGTACTTGCGGTTCGATTTAAACCGAGTTGGTCCGAAACTCTGAATATGGTAAGAATTTAGTAAGTCTTCTTCTTCGGAAGGCACTATGGATCCTGATTCAAGTTAATGTTTTCCTGAGAGCATATGTTTTTTTGGGGTTCAATGTTGATAAATAATGACAGCTGAAAAGAGGAGATGACGCATCGGAATAGGTTCTGTCAAAGAAGATGATAAAAGTGGATCGATTTGAATGTTGCATTTCTTCATCAGTCTTTTTCTTTTAAGTGAGAGGCGGAGAAATATTTGCGCAAGAAGAATCCGATTCACCATTGCGACGGGCCTCAATCGGAGTCAATGAGACATGATGCAATGTCAAGTACTCCTTCCGTCCGGAAATACTTGTCATCAAAATGGATAAAAGGGGATGTATCTAGACGTATTTTAGTTTTAGATTCATCTCTTTTTATCCATTTTGATGACAAGTATTTTCGGACTGAAGGAGTATTGCACAATTTCATCAACACAAACAAACAAATTTGTTGAAGATCTTTGATTAGCAGGACTCCAAAAGACACATAAATTGGGGAAACTTCGCAGTTTAGCGTCAACTCAGATCCAGCAGGATAAAAACTGTTTGCACCTTTCTGTGAAAGGTTGGTGTCAATGGAAATTTTCCTGTGAAACGTAGCGTAGCGCCGATCAACAATTTCCCTATGAAATTTTCAGGGAATTGTGTGGGGATTACAGGTGTCAAAAATCCTCTGTTTCAGTGTGGATGGACTCTGCCTCACATTTTCCACTCACATGCTTTTGTCAACAAAGCTGCTGAATCTTTTCAGATGCAGGGGCTCTGCATCAAAGCTGGATCTGTGTAAACTATCTTCCAAACCACTCATGTGCACATCAGAGGTAAGAACCAAGAACAAGAGGACAAAGACGCCAATGGTGATTTATCTGTACACATGTCCACATTAGCAGCCGTAGCACTCATCTGTTGCTAGCATCACACGCATG